CACATTTTCATTCTAATCCTATTTATTAACCTAAAAAGTGTTTTTATAAAGTGACTGAAAAATAATTTAACAAATAAACAGTCACAGAATTTAAAAAACGAATGGCTGTTATTTCACTTTCACTAATCTAACCAATCACAGGGCCCTAATTCTGACGGCGCCGGCCGTCCGGGCTCACCGTACGCCGGGGTCCTGACGATGGTGAAGACGAGCTCGTTCTCCGGCGTGTCCTCGTCACGGACGCTGAGGGACGAGTTGGTGATGACGACGCCGGAGTTCTCCTCCACCTGGATCCTGCTGACCGACACCGCCGGCTCTTTGGCTTCTTGACTCCGCTGTGAAGCACAGGTGGTCCGGTTCAGTCCAAACCAGAACCAGAACCAGAACTAATAATTCTGAGTAACAGAAGTTTTGAGTCAATCCATGGTTTTTACCTGGATGTTGATTTCCAGCAGGAAGGTTTCGGTCTGGACGTGTCCGTCACTGATGTAGAAGCTGAAACCGTCCTGACCGGACCGGGGCTGGTTCTGGATGTCCTGGACGTAGAAGATGTGGTGGGACGTCAGGTCGTGGACAGAAAACGGAACACCTGGAGTGATCCGGGAGCCGCCGGCCGAGCCGCCTGCAGAACCAACAGATCAGAGCTCAAACCAACGTTTTTATGATTTCATCCAAAACTAAATGTATTTTACAAATAAACACATGAAAAACTGAAAGAACTCCATGTTTGTTCTGGTACCAGAACGTTCATCCCAGACGTTCTGGTACCAGAACAAACATGGAGTTCTTTCAGAGCTTCCCAGATGAAAGTTTGGAGACTTCCTGCTTTCAAGAAAATATTTTACCAACAAGCTGTCTCTGACTTTTAATAACATTTACTGTGTTAGAATTTTAGTAAGTCAGACTTGTTTCCGGTGAGAGTTGGACTCCACCAAGGCTGTCCTTTGTCACCGATTCTGTTCATAACTTTTATGGACAGAACTTCTAGGAGCAGCCGAGGTGCTGAAGGGATCCTTTTTGGTGACCTTGTTTTTTGCGGAGGATGTGGTCCTGTTGGCTTCATCAGATCCTGATCTCCAGCTCTCACTGGAGCGGTTCACAGCCGAGTGTGAAGCGGCCGGGATGAGGATCAGTGCCTCCAAATCTGAGACCATGATCTTGAACTGGAAACTGGTAGGGTGCCTTTCCGGGTCGGAGAGGAGGTCCTGCCCCAAGTGGAGGAGTTTAAGTATCTCGGGGTCTGGTTCACAAATGAGGGAAGAATGGAGCGGCAGATCGACAGGTGGATTGGTGCTGCGTCTGCAGTGATGTGGGCGTTGTACCGGTCTGTCGTGGTGAAGAGAGAGCTGAGCCAGAAGGCGAAGCTCTCGATTTACCGGTCGGTCTACGTTCCTACCCTCATCTATGGTCACGAGCTTTGGGTCATGACTGAAAGAACGAGATCACAGGTACAAGCGTCTGAAATGAGTTTCCTCTGCAGGGTGTCTGGGCTCGAGAAGCTCAGTCATCCAGGAGGGACTCAGAGTAGAGCCGCTGCTCCTCCACATCGAGAGGAGCCAGTTGAGGTGGTTCATCTGGTTAGGATGCCTCCTGGACGCCTCCCTGGTGAGGTGTTCTGGACACGTCCCACCGGGAGGAGGCCCAGAGGAAGACCCAGGACACGCTGGAGGGACTATGTCTCTCAGCTGGACTGGGAACACTTTAGGGTTCCCCTGGACGAGCTGGTCCAAGTGGCTGGAGAGAGGGAAGTCTGGGTCTCTCTGCTTAGGCTGCTGCCTTCGAGACCCGACCCCAGATAAGAGGAAGAAAATGAACGGACGGACTTTAAGGCCCATTTTCCCACCAACTTTATCAAATTTATCTGTTTGTTGCACAAATTCTCTAAGAAATAAACAAATAAATTATTTTAAATTGAAGGAAAATTTCAAAGGATTATTATCAAATCTCAAATTCTTTATAAATCGGGTCAAAAGTTTAACTAATAAAACATATTTAGCTTTTTCTGTAAAATACAAACAAAAAAATAAAAATTGCAAAACGATAAGATAAGTCATTTGTTAAGAGAAGAAAATTGTTTCGTTTAAACAGTTTTATTCTTTATGAACGCCACTGGAAACATTCCAAAAGTCTAATTTTATAACGTTTGCAAATAATCTGTAATGAAATATTATTTATTGAGCTATTAATCAGTTTTTCATTTGATATTTTGCTCCTTTTGTGGTGAAAGATTTGACTGAGTTTCAAAATAAAAGAGAATTTGTTCACGTCGAGCTTCAAGGGGCAATATCATGTAAAATCAACTTTTTTGAGTTTTATATCATGTTATAATAT